TTTCATACTGAACGACCTAATACCATGATGACTTGACGACCTTGCTCCAGCTTCACAAGAGTTCACAGGTTTCGCCAGAGTGAGACTTGTAAACCGTAACTAGAGAAGCAATGATAGTACAAAATGCCCTCCCGTCGCCGAACTGCGCCGTGGCCACGCATTTGAGGGTTAAAAAGTGTCAACTTTCACAAAATTCCAAATTTCAGGTACTCTATCGCCTCATTGCTCTTTATGGCCTGTTTTCTCTTGAGAAGCACCTTGCCACTTGTTACATGGGTGAGTTCTTGACTTTTGTTCTATCTGAAGCATTTTTAATCAGAGCGCACGGGGACATCATGTTCCACCTTCATAGCCCTTGGGACATGATCATATTCAAATTATAGATTCTACTCTAGCCTGAGCGAAACTGGGCCTACCATTGTGCCCCACATGGTGTGCACTTCCTCTTTACTGTCTTGCAGAGGGCTTAGAGGGGCGCGCGATGAGGAAGGCACGATGTTAAGGTTGACTTCACCCATGTGAGGAGCGTGAACTGTGCCTTCATCCAACCTTTCCATGCCTTAAACGTTTTTACCATCATACAAGTTTGGCTGTATCCGTCAGCGCCGAAATTATGTATAATTGAGGATCAGAGCGCCATTATGTCTTCTATGCGCTTCGATACTTCCTATTCAGGTGGCTACTGCTCCTGGACCGAAGTTTGGAGAAACTATCCGTCAGAATATTCGACAGCTCGAAGGCGAAATCTACGCGGACGCTGTGACATTGGTCGATGCTATTGCTCCACCAGACTTCGTTCTGAACTCGGCACTGGGCGCCAGCGACGGCAGGTAAGCGGGTGTGACATAACCCGGAAGGTAGCGCAGGAGTGAGCAAAGTTATCAAGACCGTACGATCATCTGATGCGTGAATTCCGTAAGCACACGAATCCTCGGCCACACTGGTGGGAAGATCTGAGCGCTTTCTTGGAGGAGAACAAAAAGCGGTCAAGTAAACTTTAATAGACGGTCATTGCTTTATCTTGTGCTGATGAAGACAATCGCTTTATTT